GCATCTGGCCCTATCTCTTCCTGCTGGTCTTGGCTGATCCCTGGATGGCCCCTGGTCCTGATTCACCACCTTGCCTCCTCTGGCCTTGTTGCTATCAGCATGCTGGCCCCACTCAGGTACTGTGGGACTATACCCAGTTAACGGGGCTATCCTCAGCTCTTGGCTTATCCTCCTCATAGAGCAGACCTACTCTTGCTCCTCTTTGATGTACAAGTGTCTTCCTTGCAGAAGGGAGAAGGCAGCTTCTTCCAAACTGAGTCCTGCATGATTTCTTGTAGCCTCCTCCTGTATGTATAGGCAGGTGTAATGAGCTGCTGAGTGTGTGATGTCCTCCTGTTCCCTGGGTGGTCGTGGACTTCTTGGGGAAGGATGGGGCAGCTCCCCTGGGCTTTGCTCTAGGTATCTGCCTGGGGTCTGATGCCTGCTTTGCAGCCCTCTCTCTCAATAGGCAATGAGAGCAGTCATCTGCCTGCAATGCTTCAGAGCACAACAGAGCCTCCTCTAGAAAAATAAATTATGGAACTGAGGGTTTAAAAGGCTAACAGTGACTCACTTGCCAAAGAGCAGAGGCTTGTCCTGAACCTCCAATGGCTTACACTGTCCATTCATATGATGCCTAGGCTACATTTGCTCTCCCATCCTGAAAGAAATGCTTTCTTGTTAGCTACTGAACTAGTCCTTTTAAATACCTTTCTTTTTCCTTGACACTAGACACAGTATGAGAAACAAGTAGAAGTTTAAAAGTTTATGGAATTAATTTACTTAGTGTGAACATTTTAGAAATTCAAAAGCCCATCTAAAAATAGCCCAATATTTATTCATTTAATAATACTTCACTCATCTTTGACATTTAGTTTAAAAGAACTACTTATTAATGAAAGGACAGTGCATTCATTTACTGGAATAGATCAACATTTCATATTTTTATCTCTCCAAATATTTACAGAAATGAAGGCTAACCCTTACTGAACTCAATCAGTATCATACTGTATAACATCAAAATGTCAAGAGGAAAACATTGAAGGAATAAAGTATATATTTACTCCAAGGCCTCTAGGAGAACTTCTTATCAGTTAGTACTGTACTAACATGTTTAACTTAAAGCTGTGATTCCTCTAGGAAGTTAAACTTGTAACCTCTAGCAGGAAGAAAAAAAAGAGCATGTAATATCAGTGCCTTCATTAAATTTTAAAATAAGGAGAGAATCTAATGTGGAATAACCAGAATTTATTCGTAGAAAAACAGATTCTGAACTTTAGTTGAAGTAGCTAGAGGGAGGTAAACCTGGTTCCCTATACTGAAGTTCGATATCTGATATTGTAGCTGATTCCACATATCGTCATCTCTCCTCTTGCACACAGGCAGCTGTAAGAGGGTATCTTGTTATTAACATATATGCTTTTGCTAGAGCATGTTGGCTAACTATTAACTGCCTGCCATCAGGGAGGAATTCCCCCTCTTAGGACAGATTGTTCCATGGCCATTTTACCCTTCATGACACTACACTTTAAATAGGTGAGTGATAAAGACAGAATATTGGGTTTCGTCAGGGCACAGCATAGGGCTGTTGAACAAATTTTGTCCTGTTCAGAAACCGAATGATCAGAGAGCAATTTATAACAAGGAGGTTCTGATTAGTGAAAGACTTACTGAATAAACTAAACTAATCTTAAAAGCAGAGTTATTCCTCTGCTTTTGAAATGCAGGAGAGGAAAAAAAAAAAAAAAGATGAACAGCCACTAGAGTTCACTCACTGAAACTTTGCACCCCATTCCTTTCCTATTTTTTTTAGCCTGTACAGAAGCAGCCTTATCTATTAAGATTGCTTAATTATCTTCATATGATAAAATTTATTGTACGCTGGTGATAATTTTGGCCATCCTTCAAGAAATGGAAAGCTTCCTTTATTCATTATAGTGGTGAATAATGTTATTTCTGAGAGTGCCTAAGAGTAAGAAATGGCCGGCCTGAGGAGACGGACCACAACCGGAAGTCATGTAGGTGACGTGTCTCCTCTGTGTAGCCACAATAAATGAGTGCTGCAGGGATGAAAGAAGCTGCGGTGACTGCTGTTTAGCGGTAACCGTTCACCATCAGGGTGGGAACACTTTCCAAGCTGTAACTGACAGTTCGCACTGAGGCACAGTTCAGTTCAGATGAGCCCTCGGGTGCCTGCAGTACCACCCGTGCTGGGAGCTGCCAGCACGGGGGAAAAAGGTTCTTGAGCACAAGCAGATCTCAGTCAAGACACATGCCCCTTGGCCTATCGAACAAACAGCGACCCAAGGTCTATCACTACCTGTGACTGGTGGTCATCTGTACAATGCTGCTGGAGCTCCAAGCAACTGGCTGTGAGTAGGCAGGAAGTTGTACAGCCATTGACAAGATTTTCTATGCAAAAAGGACAAGGTACGGTTCATTTGTGGGTGTATTATTTTCATATTTTTTTAATGTGTGATGCATTCATAGGGGTGTGAAGAAAAGGAAATCTTGAAGATGAATGCCCAACCTACATTTTCTCCCCTTCCCCCACCTCCTTCTGTGTTAGATTTTCCCATCCACACTTAAGATGACAAACTATTTTGTTGCCGGGATTTGTCTTGCTCTTCAATGGCTGAGGCCACAGAGCTACCTTGTCAGTGCATGTGGGATGGCAATTATTTTAGTGAGAAAAGGCAGAGTAACAAGAGGAGGAGCAAACAAGAGCTACAACAAAACCTCCAATTCTTTCATGGAGTGTGGAGTTTATGAAGTGGTACTTTCTAGGCAGACAGATTCCTAGCCCTGAATGTTATATATACATACATATATCTCTCCCTATTTTTGTATCTGAACATATATTTGAACTGATAATGGCAAGGATATATTTTAGAACACATGCTACTTGTCAGTTACAGAAGTAATGTTAGTATTTTCTAGAGAAGTTTTAGGATGTAAATTAATTTTCTGAAATTTTAAAAAGTATAGCTTGCAATGCTATCTTAAAAAAGTTATTCTATTTATAAGTAACTGGATTTGAATCTTTTCCCTTCCTCCTCTTGCTCTTGATGCTATGTAGGTAGTCTCTTATAACACCACAGAAGATATATTTGATTTGCTCTGATTCCTTTCTGTTCAATTTTTGTTTGCACATCACCCACAATAAAATATGAACACCTGCCTTGAACTAGTAATGCTACAGGCAACATCTCCTCTTTTGATCGTGTGGATTCTTTATTTGCTTTTTCCAATATTGTCGTGAACGTATTGATTAGTGGAGCACCACTTTGCCACTTGCCTCTTTATTATTGTTAGGAAAGGAAAAATGTTTTAATGCAACAAATTCATTAGTGAATAGGGATATTAAATTCAGTTCCTTTGTGGTGAGCTCTTCACTGTCTGACAAAAGGATCCAGACAGAGGAAAATGCTTTTGGGGGAAGAGTCTTTATTGAAGATTGGTCTCTAGGGACTTCAAAATAGCAATTGCTCTTTGCCACCAACTATCTAGGACCAATGCTGCAGGAGACTGAAAGCTGAAAAAGAGATTTTCATCATATGGCCAGTGCCTGCTGGAATGAACTGTAGGCATAAATCCCGGAAGACAGTACTCCCTTTGGAGTGCCAGTGTCCAGTGACAGCCTTATGGTATCATTCTCCCATTGATCTCTTCAGAAACCTGTCATACCATGTATGTTTGGCTGGCTACCAGGTGAATTTGCAAGGACAGAACACATGAGAAAGACTCTTTATTAGTTACATTTTAAAGAGAAGGATAGAGAATTTCAGTTTCCTTGATATAAGCTTGAGGATGAATATACCTTTTAAAATTATTATTTTTCTCTTAAACTGGGGGAAAGCAAGGAAATTTTACTTGGTAATTTCAGGGCCAGCAGCCGTCACCTTTCTCCTAGAGAGGACTGTATTTGCTGTCCAGTGCCTCTCTTTTCTGGAGTAGGAGGTACAGCTTGTCTTTTTGTATTCATTCTCGACCAGACAGTGCAAATACATAGGGAAGGACAGAGAGCATATACTGTGTGGCCGACATGAACTTGCTAACCATGAGTGATGCTGCCAGCTGTCCCCTCTGGCTGAAATTTGCCTTGATACCACTGCCAGATCAACTCATCTCCACTGGATATGTTTAGCAATGCAAAACAGGGAATTATTACCCTTGCTGTGTAGGTGGGATGTTGAAATAGAACAGCCTGGATTTGTGCCACTTTACTTTAAATTCCTCTGCTGGGTAAGTGGGGATGTAGTGGTTCAAGGTCCCTTTTCTGTCAGTGGCAAGAGATCACCATTTTCAGATGCAGTGCAGCCCACCCAGGACGTGATTCACCATCTACAGATACCAATTTCTTCCCCTTGTGCACAAAAAGGTGCATGAGTTTACTAGATTTGAAGTTAAGGGCCTCAGTTTCATGCCTAAAGCTTTATGAGATGAGTCCAAATCAAAATGATACAGTTTGTCAGAGAGTGTGGCAGATTCAGGAACCAAACTTTAATGTCCCCAAATCCCTGTGATGCTGTAATTCATAACCCGTTCTGCTTCTTCAGTACTCAGTGTAATGCTCAGCTCCCCTAAAAAGTGTAAAGAATAACAAATACTTAGAAGTCAAGTATATGTCTTGGAATGACATCTGGGCTCCTTGGGTGGGAAAGACAAGGAGGCTGAGAGTATCATAAAAATGTACACGTGGAAGAAAAGTGTTATAATCAGCAACAATCACCCCACTTTTTGAGCCAACTTCCCCTCTGTACCCAGCCAGAGTATTAATGAGCATCTTAAGTCTCTGTGCCGATGGACAAGCTGGGATTCACAATGTTTTAATACAGCATGTGTTTGGAGAGTTTCGCAAAGAAAGAATTGTTAATGAGTAATCCTTGTCCATTAGGGCACTGAGCCAATGAGCCCAAGCTTTGATTCATTGTGTTATCACTACAGGCTTCTGCTAAACCTAAAGGAAAAAAAAAAACCACCACCCACAAACCAAACAAAAAAACCAAAACAAAAATGTTCCTGTGTGAGAATCGTTAGGATGCTGAACTGAGTGGAGAACTGCCTTACATCCTGCCATCCACAGTCTTCCAGAAAAGAACAGTAAGTAATAATTCCTTAAACTGATAGCTCTTGCTGTTGTGTAGTACAAAAGCAATTTTCTCACCTGAATTATTTAGTGGATGTTAATGGATTTTCGACCAAAAAAAAAAAAAAAAAAATATTTTTAAAGCTCATATTTTATTGAAGAATAATATAAGGAGAAGTAATTTCATCTACAAAATTGGTGTAACAGCAGGAAAATTCCCTTGGGAAAAATGTTAAGGTCATGAAAAATAACAACATGACAGTGTTGGAATTTGTCTTTAGAAAACTGGCTTCTATGTCTGTGTGTCACCGGAAAGAAAGCGTAAATTTGACACTGAGTCTTTCCTGCAATAACACTATCTAGTTAATTATGTGCATCAGCTTTCAAATGGTACTGGTTTGTTAATTTTTCATCCTTTTAGGAACAGAAAATGTGATTAATGGGAGAACAGACAACAATCTAGAAAGGGAATAGTTATATTTGGTCTATGTAATTTCTTTGTTTGACAATTTTGTGTACAGATTCCAGGTGCCTCTTCTGAAGTCCAGGACTTTAGCACTTATTTCACATGACTAGCACAAGCAAAAGGGGGTTTCACTTTTCAAGTGATTACTATCTGAATCCATTGCCAGTTTTTAAGAAAATGTCAGTTTATTTTGAGTATTCCTGCTAGCCATTTATCTTCAGAAAACTATAATCGGGGTGGGACGCATTTGGCTTTTGTTATTTTTATTGCTATTGTTTGTTTTAAAAGAGAACCTAGAGATCCCAAAGTAGATTGGGATGGCACTAGGCTGCATGGGAGTTCAAAAAAAGGTTAAGAAAGGAGGGTTTGCAGTTCTATCAGGTGAGATATGAAAAAGATGCTGGAGAAAGGAAGACACAGAGAAATGGTGTTCAGCAGATCATCCCTAGGACAGTCAGAACCTGGCCCCACTCTTTCAAGTTACTTGCCTACCTACAGAAATGCTGTTGAGACTTCTGGTAGAGTTTTCAGTTCTACTTGTGACTGACTTAAAGATACTTATTTTTGCTTCAGAATCAAGCTGTAAGAATATCCTATCTTTTTTCTATGTCCTGTATCTCTTTGCTGCTCCGATTTTAAATGTTGTGTTACAAAAATCTAAACAGTAAATTTCGAACACAGTAACACCAGTCCTGCCTCTGGTTCTCAAACTTTCTCATGTTGTTGCTTGTATTTTGCATCAGCTGCTGTGTAGCTGCCCATGGTGCCATGCATGCCAAAATGATTTGGCAGCAAAAGGCTAGAAACACGGAGCACAAATCTTCCTAACGCTTTCTTGTCTCTTTGATACACTTTAAAACCAACGAGCAAGCAAATAAAAAAGCCTATCAAATAAGTGAAGCGCTGCATTAAATATTCTACAAAAAAAAGCTATGAGGGCAGATCAAAAGCCTGTGAACTAGAGGGGAATCTTCCTATTGATATTAACAGTGTTTGGATGGGGCTGTTAATGATGTTACTGAAATTTCTCTTTGAGCAACCAGCAGCCAGATGTGTAAAGAATAGGACAATATTATGGGACAGAAGGAGGGAAATGTACCTCACTAATATTTGTGAAAAACTTTGCCAGTGCTTTGATGTATCTTCCTTTACCGAGTAACTGAAATAGATTCAATTCTTCTTCTTCTGAAGGTAAAATGCAATTAGACAATCATGGAGCTTTCCTGATGATCAAACGTATTTTTACTTTACCTGAAAGTATGGGGCTACAATGCTTTTGTCTTCAGTGGGCCCAGTTTATTTTAACTTTAATTATTTCATTAAAAGGCTTGGCTTTGCTTACACAGAAGCCAGAGGAAGCTTTACTGTTGACCATAGTAGGGTCAGAGGTAGTATGCTGATAAGAGTCCACAATAAATCTGAAACCTACACCTACATGCATATGTGTATACATATATATCTGTACTCCCATGAACATATATCCCGTAAGAAAGCTGAATAACCATGCATGCACATACATATGGTGAAAGAATAAGCACATATATAATAATATACATCTCAATTTTCTCAGTTAAACATAGAGTAGACAAACGTGTTGATTGACTGTTCTGAAATATGCTAAAGGATACATGTAATAAAATTTTATGTAATTCAGAGTTCTTAATATGCAATTGATGAAAATAATCTCAAGCAATTGGGCATATATCTTACGTTATATATACTGATCTCTGGTTTTCCTTGCTGTGTACCATCGGCCGATGAAAATAATCTCAAAAGGTGGTGGAGTAAATAGGTTTATTAACAAGTTAATTAAAATAATTATTTGGGGAAAAAAGCTTTGTAACTTATCCTATGCCTCTTAATTTCTCCTGACAGGCTCTTATTTTGGAGAGCAATATTGATTTCCTGTGCACCTATTGCCTTTATTTCAGCTTTCACCTATCATCTGATGCATTTTTTTGTTTACACTTCAGGAGGGAGTATCAATCAGGTTGGCTGAGGTAGTCTAGATTCATCTTGATAGCAGTAGCTAAAAGATACGCTGCACAAGAGGAAGTAAGCATGAGGTAGAAATACCTATGAATGTTTAGTCATACCAATGATGCCTGCGAATATCAAGAAGCATTCCACTATTATGTGGTTTTGGTGGATAAAGAAATCTGAATTGAGAGAGTGGTTACTGATCCCAGTTCATGTAGATGAACTTATTCTGGAAGCTGAGATGACATATAGCTTTATTTTACCAGCCAAAAAACCCCCATCTCAGACCCTCTATCTTTAGAAGGAATACTTCTGCTGAGAGGTTCTGTGCATAGGTGCTGCACATGGCACCCTTTGTCACCCGGCCGCGTTGCTAGCAATTTGGGTGCCTCTGTATGTCTGCTGGGTGTGATCATCCCACTGGCCAGAGCAATGCTTCTGCTTCATGGGAGCTGCAGCCAGCTGGGACCACAGGTGTCTGACCGCAGCGACAGCCTAGGAGGATCAGGCTGAGAAGAGGCTGAGGACAGGGTGTGCATTGTGGGACCGGCTCTTTGAAAGTGGAGTCCAGCCCTGGGTATGTGATGCCTTGCGACACCAACTTACGGTAACCTATGCTATTTCCTGGAACTGAAAAACGTGTGGAATAAGTGATGCTTAAATGCTCTATATTGTGTACCTGGTGTAGGTCTGAAATCTGGAAATCAGTAGCTGCTGCTTTTAAATACTGGAGAAATTAATCAGATAAATCTAACATAGGATAGATGGCTCAAGCAGGCTGGATTCAGGGGCAAATCCTAGCAAAACGTCCATCAGTATTTAATTAAGAGTTTGGTGTTAAGGCAAATTTACAGTAGCAAAGCTACATGTAATGGAAAATATATTTCCAGTCTTTTTAATGGTGATCATGTCTTGTGCCTTGCAGAAATCCTCAGAGGATAGCATTCATTTCTTCCATGAAATCCAATGAATGGTCTACATCAGCTGGACATATTAAAGAAAATGAAGTATTAAAAAAGGTGGGAACTGTAAAATCATCATGAACATTTGACTTGAACTGAATCCATCCAGATCAAAATCAATGTGGTAGGAGGGGTAGAGTTGCAAAACCTGTAACGTCCTAGCATACTGGGAGGCTATGACAAATATATCCTCAAGTTTCTTACTATAAACAAGGCAGTATTAATAGCGCCAGGGGTTTTTTTTGTGTGTATGTAAGGAATAATAGATTCTAAGAAGTCTATCCTGAGGCTAAAGAGTGACATTATCTAATGACAATGTTAAAAAATGGAATAGCCTCAAAGAAACAAAGAAGTTTATAGACATTTCAAAGAGACTGTAAAAACACAGACACCATTTTAGCACTTTAAAATATAGCTTGCATGCTTTCTCCTTTATTTGCGGCACAGACTAGACAGATGCGGGATATATATACCTTACAAGCTAAGAAGCCATGCACTGAAAGTCTGCCCGTATACTGATAGTCTAACAAAATACTTTAAAATGGATGTCATCTTGGGACTGTCTTTGAAGTATTTTGATATAACATCCAACATTCCCTACGAGGATAAGTTCTAGGCTCTGTATGACCATATAGAAATTCACAATCCCAATGCTGACATGTCAGCTGTTGCAGTGTTAGCTCCTCATACAGGGTCTGAGGAGGAAACATGAGAAGTAGTAGTAGTGACAGAATGAAATCTTCAAGTCGGGATGCAGGGAGAGCTAATCCTGCAAGGAACTGCAAGGGTTGCATGCCCGTGGGCTGTAAAAAGCTATTGAAGGTCTTGGACATGAGGAGAGAGTGGAGGTGGTCTCGCTCCTCTGGTCTTCAGATAGCAAATCCAGAGAAACATTCAGGAGCCCTCTGAAGACACCTCATTTTGATGTTTCTCTTGCTGACCATTAGGTCAGGGGTCCTGACTGCGCTTCCGTCTTTTCCCGCTGCAGAACCCTCATAACGGGCTGCAAGAGGAACACGCTCCCAAGGGTCTGTCATGGGCAGTTCCCGGCTGTTGGAAAGTGTAAGGCTTTTGCAGCCCTGTGGGCAGCCCCACCTCTTGAGTCCAGCAGACACCTCCCCCAGAAATGTGGTGGTGAGGCAGTAAAATGGTTGGAAGTAGACATGGGCCTACTGCGGCGGCTGGGCTGGTTGCCAACCTCCTTCCCAAGACATATGGAATGTTTTGCTGTTGCAAAACTGTGTTTCTGTGCTAGATTTAAGACTGTGTGTTTATATGTTATGTGCCACAAGAACCCTATCTGGTCTGTGATACAAGTGAATTTTGACATTTCTGAGTAAACTGTTCAAATTATCTCTGGGCAGACATTTAAAATGCATCTGTCTAATTAGAGAGCCTTTGTTTATGTTAAGAAAGAACTTAATGAATCCTCACGGACAAATCTGAATATAATTGCACAGTGTGCTTGCCGCTCTGACAAGCTCCTTCCCAGTCTGCTCAGCGCTGGGGCCTCCTGCTGCGCTCACGCCTTTGTCAGATGACTCCACTGCCGCTTGAGAAACGTGCTGAGCCCCCACTGGGAAGCAGACTGGGCTACAACTCTCAAACGCCTTCAGTGAGTGGAAATGCAGCTCCAGGGACAGTCCCACGGCAATAAAACCAGATGAGGAATTAAGACTACAAAACAGATTTCTGTCAACTTTATGCAGAATCCTCTTGGTGTCTGCATAAACCCTTGAGTCATCTCCTTGTTGGAGCTGTATGTTCTCTTGCTGCTGACGGTCCCGCCTCAAATGCAATCCTGAGTTGCCCTATCCCACCCACATGAGCCAGACCTGGGCAAGAGAGCGTCTTGCACGCCTTACCCCTGGATGCAGTGCTGTTCTAGCTACAGCCTCCGCTCAAGCAGGAGGCGATGGCAGGTCTCTTGCCTCTTATTTAATAGCCGAGTGGTTGGAGCGGGAAGGAGAACCTGGGTACAGCGCCACTGTCAGCCTCAGGAGATGAAAGCTGCTCCATCTGACCTGCTAGGAAAGTACACCAGGGAGCAGGCACAGGCATCTCCCAGCTTCTCCAAGCAGAGTGATACGGCTGCCGGAGACCACAAACGGAGCCGGTGTGCGAGCCTGGTTATTAGACCAAGGCTTTGCTTTCTGGTTTTGCCCTCATTTATCTTGTTCAGAGAGTAATTACTGAAGGCAAGATAAAGAGCCAGTCGCTGGAAATTAAACTCAAGTTTCCTGGCTTGATTCTTCTGACCTAACCATAAACTTACACTTTTTCAGGAAGCGAAAACAATGAAATGATGAAAGGGTGATGAAAAAATAATGCAAACAACTGGTGTTCCCTGGAAGGGGGGGCTGGGCAGCATGCCCTCAGCAGGTCAAGCCAGTGCTTCAGTCCGTGAATATTTGAATAAGGTTGAGCATAAACTACCATTAGTTTTAAACGAACAGCAGAAGGACAGCAAATAGAATATACCACAACAAGGGAAAAACAAACAAACTAGATGCAGCATTTTATTTAAAGCCTGAATTAGGTATTATAACTTCAAGCCAACATTTGTTACAGTACATATTGAAACAACCTCCTGAATCCTGCCTTACAATAGATACACAAAAATTAGTTACTTTATTTTAAATATTCCTTTTGCTTTATATCTTTCAGGGTCTCCTTTCAATCTATTTCTTATTTAGCATATTCCACCTGAATTGAAGAATAAATGGGATCTGAAATGAATTTAATAGGACATCACCAGCTAGCCACTGCTGATGGATTTTCTCTTGCCGAAGGTCCTCATTTGTTTGGTAAGTCACCAAATTACGTTAAAATAGCAAGGTATCTTTTACTCAGAAACCTAGAAGAAAATGCAGTGAAATCTCAGGTCAAGGACATGTGGTTGACATGTGCCAACCTTCTTGAATCTTCAATACCTATGGAAGGAATAACAAATAATGGGTCTGTGGTGTTAATGTAAACCTGTGTGCTATTGCTTTCATCACTACTGATGGCAGAGCTTGTAGGCTGTTCATGTAACACTATTCTACTACCTGAAACCATCCAGCAAAGACAGACCTTTGTATGTAGGCTGGATATTATCTTCATGTGAGTCATTTAAGTCAAACTGAGCAGATATATTTTCAGTTAATTTGTAATAAAATTATACTGCAATATATTTGCATTGTCATATTATGCAAATTTATGAAAGTAATTTCACCTAAATTAAAACCTTTGTCTTATTAAGACCATTAAAAACTTATGCTATTAACTTCAACGCACAAGAAAATTTATAGTGCAGGCTGGAAAATTCTCCTTGCTCCAGTTCCACTGAATTTTTCAAGGCTGAGCATGGGTTTGTTAATGAATGAAGAATTCTTGGTCAATATTTTGTAAGCATGGGGAAGATGTCTTCTGTTATATGTACTGCTAAGGGAAAAAAAAAAAAAGAGAATAACACATTTTTATTTTTTTTTGACCTGCCTTTTGGCAGCAGAGGGAAACCTTTGTTGAGTAACGTGATACATTCAGGGCCTCACACACAATACAGGCATCCCCCGAGAAAGTTGCAACACTTCAGAAGTTTCCAGGCCAAATAAGACCAGAATTCTGTCTTTTTGAGTGCTGAAAAAATTGAAAACATTTCAGTTTCATCTGTCTGAAACAAGAATAGCTGCTTGGGCATTGAGGGACCCTGACACATGGAACCACTCCTGTTGCAGAGCTCTTAGAAGCAGGGAGCAACTCTCCAGTTCAAACCACTTCCAGTGTCCTCGCTCTGTACAACTAAACTAAAGCACTATCACTAATGATAAGGAAAACCCATTGCAATACTGTGTGTTATTGGGTTTTTTTCACCTAAATGTTTTGGGTTTTGGTGGGAGAAATGTTTTTGCAGTTGTTAAATAAGTATATGTAAATAGCTAAAACACTTCCTTGCTACCAGTTAATTCCAATGTCAGGCCATGATATACACAGAGGAGAATGATGTTCAAATCCAAGGTGCCAAATTTTATATCCAGTCATCCCTTTAAAAGTCCTGCATAACTGAACCACTTCAGATTTTTGTCAAGAAGATTTTCTCCCTGATGCTTATTTTTTCACTAATTATTTCATTGTTTTTAAAGAGTAATGATCAGGTAGCTTCAAAATACAATGAAGCATGTTAATGTAAAATACTTTCCCTCCCCACTGAAATCTTACTTAGAAACTATGAGGTCTTCAGAAGAGGGATTGTGTCTCCCATTATAGGTACTCACAGCTTAGCACAACGGAGATTTAATTCAAACTGACATTTCTGTAACAGAAAGAAATAATATATTAAGAGGTTGAATCAGAGGTCCCATCAGGAAGGAGACTTAGCACTCCTGCTGTATTTCTCTTAAGCTGACTTCTGTTTTGTATGGCCAATTGGTCCTGTTTTGCGGGATGTCACTCAAGTCTCAGAAGTGAATTCTTTACAAATTTGGTGTCTTTTGCTTTTATAGCTGGAAAAAAAAAATCAGAAATAATATGCAACTGAGTCCACAGAGAGGGTTACTCATTGTGAAAATATGACTCCATCTCTTCAAAATGCTTGTAGGAAATTGTTTTGCCTCTCAATTTTATATTTGTAAACTACTTGCATTTTTTTTGACATTCAGTTTTGGCAGGTAGAGACTTCTGAACCCAAGGAAACAGGAAGAAAGCTTTTGTTTTAAATGACCCTTAGAATATATATTTCTTCCAGGACTTCTCACACATTACAGCTCTGATGTAATGCAAGCAAGAAATTGCTGGCTTGCAAACATCAGCGTTTATACAAAACAGCCTTCTTTTTCAAAGATGCATGCTCACATTCTGCAAAAAACCTTGGAAATGTATCATCTTTTCATTATGCTTCACTCAGTCTATGGGGAGAGTGTTCTTAGACCTTCAAAAACAAATCTAAGTGCATCTCCAAACATCAGCACCAGGTCTCTCAAAAGAAACGCTGTCAATTGTGAGTTGCTTGTGCTGTGAGTCTCGTCACGATGGTAATTCCAGAGCACTTCTATGTACTCACCCTCAAGATGTCTAGTTGCAGCATGTTTCAGAAGAGCTGAAAAGAAAAAAAAAAAAGGTTTTCTGCCTTTCAGAACTTGGAAATAGCGTGTTGCTATTTTAACAGTATATGTCTAAGGTAAAGTATCTCTTTATGTCTTTGCGGTTAGTGTGTTTTAACTGTAGTTTTTCACTTCTGTAGTTAGGGATCCCTGGAAAAAGGGGCTCAAAATGCAAATGATGAAGGATCTTTAACCTAGCAGAAGTGAGGGTCCTTCCCTTCCACCCTGTCTTCCTGGAAAACTGCTTCTATTTTTATACCTCACTACTCGGGCGATTTAGGAACATCCTGAATCTCTTTACAGAAAATATCTTTTTGAAGAAGTGGCCAAAACCAGATACATAAAATGATACATCTTCTATAACATCTGCATGCAAATCAACTTTTTCTTCCTTGCGGTTCTGGTTTTCCCAGTAAGGGAAAAGGACTCTTGATGACAAGAACTCCCAGAGGTGCATGGGTCTCCATGGGACCTGTCCTGTTAAGATACTTCTCCTCAGTCAAACCCTGTTTTTATTTCACAAGCCCCATTAAAGCCCTATTAAATTGAACAGGGCCAGCGATGTGAAAATCGGTCCAATTTCATATCCTGAACTGAGACACACCTACTGATTTGCATTTTTGAGCTCCTCTAATTTAGGACTGAAATCCTGGTCTCCGTTAGAACCTTTGGGAGCTTTGTAGTTCACTTTAGAGCCATGATGTTATTCTGTGGACACTTCTACCATGATAGACATAGATGATCTGAGCTCCCCAGCTTTGCTCCAAACTGACTGGACACCAGCTGTCACCTCAAAGACTCTGAGGTGCATTAGCAGAGCACTGTGCTGAAGCTGACAAGCCTTGCTCTAAGGCTTGGCAATTCAGCTGGGACAGCAAGACTGTTGCAGAAAGGTATTTGATAACATCTTTCAATTGCCTTTGAGAGTTTTTCATATTAGGGCCAATACACATGTTAGATATCTATATCTCCATTATCTTATTTCTTCCAATGGTTATCACTTGCCCCTCTTTTACAAGGGACTGAACTAATTTTCAGACACCAAAAATGTCTCCTTCATATTTTAAATGTGGAGGATAAGCGTATATATTTGTATGGAATCTGAAATATATACAGCATTTGATTCAAACTGTCATTTATATGATAAGTAAGTAGCAGGCCCTTAAAGTAGTAGTCCCATTCTATTTTCTGTGAAAGCACCTTATATGGGAGTTATTAACATGCATGATATTAAGTGCAAAAGTTCAGCTATAAGCGATGGAATGATTTCTAAGAACCTGGAAATACAAATCAATATTATTATATGTTTAACTTGAATCAAGACCTATTTTAAGTATTTTTGATGACCTGTCAATATTTTCTTCTAATGTGACATCAAAACATAACAAGACAAGAAACACCACTCTCATTGTATATGAGAAAGAAGTTTTTAGGGTGAATGTGCACTCTTAAAAGCTGTATTGGAATGGACAAGGAGGAATAAACAAAAAATGACACGTAACAAAGGGGGAAAGAAAGCAATACATCTAAACTTGTCTTGAGTATTTGACAATGTAAGAACAAAAAAATGCCATTGAAAATTGTTGTAGGCATAGAACAGTGCCCAAGATGAGCTTAAAAGGTAGACTCCTTTTAGATAAATTTGTATTTGTTCTGGTTATGTTTTTTTCCAAAAAAAAGGTAGTAGGATCAAGTGCCCAAACTGATTAAAGAGCTTCAAGATCATAAGATATGTTAAATAACTACTTCTCTTCAGTACCACCTGGCAGATGATGCAACATCTGGCTTCATCCCTGCAGAGAAGATAATTAGGCCCGTAACAGACCCCCAAATCAAAAGGAAACAAACCAAACCAAATTAAAACGGAAAATCATGTATGCATAATAATTACGAAGCGAGCCAAACCAAACAGAGTGGCAGTCTGAGAAAAAAATTTAACGAGACAGCCAGGCTGGACGGGGCTTTGAGCAACCTGGTCTAGTGCAAGGTGTCCCTGCCCATCCATGGTAAGGGGGTTGGAACGAGATGGGCTTTAAGGTCCCTTCCAACCCAAACCGTTCTACAATTCTATGAGAAGGAATGCAGATGAATAGGGCTCTGAGGGTGAGGGCTGCACCACCAAGCAAGGCAAAACCAAAATGCATTTGTGTGATGCTTTCTTTTGTGCATGTGCAAGTCATTTGTGGATCTTAGCCTGGAAAGGAAACTGTTTCATGAAATAAGGGGAATCTTGCAGTCTGGGGCTTGACTGTCTGCCAGTTTACTTCTAGGTGTGATCCTCAGACATACTTCTGGTCACAAATCTGATGTTGGGTCTTAGTGGGCTCATCCACAGTGCTAAATGAAAGAGGCTGAAGACTGAAAGCGGCAATGTACCCTTGACTGTCCAACTTGACACTACTCAGCTCTTACCTTGCTCTGGGGCTCTGTTTTGGACTGTTTTAGTAGGTGTCTTTAAGACATGGGCTTACTCCACGAACTGTTCCCAAAAAGGCAGCGTGGACAAGACTGCAGTAGGTTTGGGTCCTTTTACCCTACACTGTCCTCTAACGCTGTCTCAGTGGGGTTTGTACCTTCATAACTTACCTGCCATCAAACCAAGGCATGCCACACAATCTTCTGACTTCATGCTGTCCCAGTAGTGCTGTGGTGGCATCCAACACAGCCCTTACAATGTTACAGATGATTTGAACTGTAATGCTTTATATTAAACAATAATATCTGAGAGTCACAGGTAGGGTACATGGGCCCAGAAGAGCAAGATCAGCAACAAAGGCTCCGTAGTGCAGATGCATCCTGCCCACTCGAGAGAGAGTTCGAGTTACCCCTAAGCTACACAGATAAGGATCGATCCTTGATGTTTGGCCTTGGGGTAAGGACATCTCTCTGGCACTCTTCTATCTTGTCGCACAGGTGTATCCAGTATGGCCTGAGCACTTTGGCCTTTTTTTGAGATTACAACATTTCTGTGCTTAAAAAACATCTCTTAATCCAGTCAGCTAAAACGTGCTTCTCGTGATACTGAAGTGGTTAATCTGTTGCACAGAATCACCTGACATTTCTAAATATTTATTGGTAAAAATTTTGTTGTAAATAAACCACAATAGGTACAAAATTACAATGGCGAGGCCACTTGGAGGCTTCTCCATGAATGGGAACCAAATTTTATCCAGGCAAATCCACACTGGGAACAGCCTTTGCCATTGTTTCAGACATTTACAAACAAGTTTCTCTGTAACGAAGTTAATCAGTAAACTATATAACCTCTGACCTGTGTCACTCCTTTGCTAATCTTAAAGAAAGTTCTCACAGTAAAGAAGTCAACAGGATATGGACAAAGGAGAATTAAGAAGTTTTATTTATACGTAGTCTTTAAGGAGAAAAAAAAAAAAAAAAAGAAAAGAGAGGGAAAGGAGGACTGGGTACCTTAAGGAGAGGTTTTTTTTCTTCAAGAGATGGTCAGACTGAAGACAGCCTAAGGTAGGATATTGTCGTGTTCTCGCTTGGACGTGTTTGCGATCTATTCTTGCCTTCTCCCTTGAAACTGTAGGATGCTAGAAGGTTGTTTAAACCAAGGGATCTTTAAAGATCAGCTAATAATCTGTTTGGAATTATATCAGGATTTCATTAATGGTTATGCTATGGTTTTCAAATTACTTAATCCTGAATCTTGTTCCTATTTCTGTAAGTTCCTTTGTGAATATTTTACAGAGAGCCAGATGTTCATATTTTAAACCTGCTCAGAATTTTTTTTCTCTTCAATTAGGTGGAACAGTAACTTTTACTTTAAAATGAGATCTTATTGTACTTTCTGCAATATTCCGAATAAAACCACCTTCAATCTGCGCATAACCTCAGTATAATTCTGCAAACTGAAAACACTTTCTTTAGTTCCTACAACTTTCTTTAGTTCCTATAAGGAAAATTCCCTTTCATTACTACAAGTGGTTAAGTCTATGTCAAATATTTTTTCAAGTCTTAGGTAAAGTATTCTGTGTAAAATTTAAAGGAACAAAAGCAAAACTCTCTGAGTTTCAGTTGCAAGTGGTATTGTGGAAAAAATATTTGTAAAATGATGACCACATCCATGTGAAGGTTTCACTTTCATATTAGTAAGCTTTCCATATTTCTGTGAAAGATTTTTAATTGAAAAGCATTTATTTGCAAAACATAATCTAAAAGATCTACAGCTATAAGTAACATCACATTTGTGTGTGCTTTAGTAGTCTTTCTTTAAAAATGTAAAAAGTGTGCTTCCAAAAGGAAAAACAGGTAAATTTTTCAAAATAGTTAAGACCACACAAACATAAAATATTGCTGCGTTCCACTGAGCTTGTTTCTGATTTCACTTTCACTGCTCATACTACTGCAACTCCAGTGGTTTCAGTGTGCTGGCTCATGCTTTAGAGTGGCATGAGACCAGCCCATCTCAGACTTCTACTAACATACATCTGGATAAACGCATATGTACATTGCAGTTGGCAAGATGAGATTAGTTTTCTTTTGCGATAAGAAATTATTTGGTCTAGATGCACAGGTACTTTGCAAAGCATAATTCCAAAAATCAGTGCGGTTTTCAAATGTCACACAGTGCAGAGCAGTGCACTGTCTGCCTCTGAAAGCAGAACCCCCTTCAGCTTTTGTTGGAAGCCTCACACACACGGAGGGCTGGGGAACGCAGCTCAGATCACGCTTTTTGGATCAGGTCATAGAAACACTTTGTCCCGACAATTTCAAGGCATCTAGTTTCTATTTCAGCCTCATAATTTGTTTCAATTTTTTAAGAGAAAACCAGAAAAAAGTGGGACTTCAGTTGTTTGCGTTCTTAAACCTGTTATTTAATGGGTAAAGTTAAGGTAGCCTCCAGACAGCGCATCAGTCCTGCCAGGAAAGGTTGCCAGTCCTTGTACCGCTGCCAGGCTTGCCTTCGGCTCAGAGGCGGATGGTGCGGGCTCACAGCGGTGCTGCACTTGCACGGGCACCGCACGACTGCGCAGCCTTGTAGGGGCTGGAGGCCGGGCTGCAGGGGTCGGCTGGATGGCAAGGAGGTCGCATTTCACCGCTTATATTAGGAATATCTTCCCTGTTCCTTCATGGTAACCTTGCTTTCCTCTTTCAGGCTCTTCTCGAAGGTTTATTTCATGCTTAGTCTCCTAATTAAGCCTCACATTTGTCGTCTTTCCCCAGTGCAGTTTTTCCCTGTCATTACGTATTCACTCAGAATTAAACAGAAATTAACATGATATTTGAGTCTAGATCTAACTTTCACCAATGCCATAGGATTTTTGACTTTTGTTTGGATTTCTTTTATTCTGCTGTGAGACCTAATTTGGGTTGCTAGCTTCCCTGTGGTGTGGGTTGCTCTTTCTTGCAAACTAAACATTTATACAATTACCTGCATGGTGTCTTTCAAGATGTTTTTTATGTAATGCCAGTGCCAGACATTTCCATCAATAACAAAAGAGTGGCTGAGAATGGCTAAGTTACTTTTAAAATCTCTTGCAATATATTTGTGTAGGACCACGACCACAGCAAATCTGAGCTCAGATAATACAATCTTTATGACTATGCTTTGTTTTTGCAATGGATGTCTGGAAATGGAAACTTCTCTGATAACTGCAGTTTCATGGCAGTAATAGAAATTGTTTTTGCATTATTATTTTCCAGGTGTCCTTTCAGAGCCAATGAGTTCTCCAGTGCAAGAGGCAGATGTGTCACCTTACACACAGTACAACAGTGTGCCATTTCCCCAAGTTCAGCCTCAGATTTCATCGCCACCTTATTACCCCAACCTAGGCTTCTACCCTCCGCAGCATGAGGAATGGTATTCCCCTGGGATGTACGAGCTCAGGAGAATACCCTCAGAGACCTTTTTCACCAGGGAGACGGAGATAATGGATATCCCTGCCGCCAAAAAGCCTAGACTGGGTCACTCCACAGGAAGAGTGAAAGGAGAAGAGCTCTGTGTAGTCTGCGGTGACAAAGCCTCTGGGTACCACTACAATGCTCTTACTTGTGAAGGATGCAAAGGTAGGATGAAATCAATTACAGAATACAATTCAGCTAATAAGCACAGCAGATTCTGAGTTTTTCTTTTCTTTCTTCTTAATTTTATCTGAGTCATTAAGCATTTTAGAGATTTATGTTTGGATCTGGTGTACACTATTCTGTATTTTTTCCCAAGACAGACTGGTAGCATCTTCCACCATTGTCCTGTGATTGTAGAGCACAGTTGGCCAACCTACAGGTCTTGAGCCACCATTAGCTCTTGGTAAACTGAAGAACAGCTTCCATCGGGGGGGCTGCAGCCTGGCTCTGCCGTCTTGGGGGCTGTTCAGGCTGATCTCTGCCTGTGGAAGGAACCAAACCATGGAGGCCTCTGGGAGTTCAGTGCCAGGCTGCCCTAGAAATCAGCTGCAAAGGCAGCCCAAATGCCTCCTGTAGTGCGCATTGAAAGGAAGGGAAAGCTGTCAGCTCCCACCTGCAGGCTATTCCCAGAGAATCTCTTGCCCCCAGCTCCCAAAGGGTATGCTGGGTGTCTTCAGGTTTGTGAAATGAAAGGGTTTCTAACTCTAGACTCTCTTCTAGGGGTAGTCCCCATCCCTAGGGAGGGAGCTTCTTCAGGAAACAGATGGTATCTGTAGGATAAATATCTTACTTCTTAGGAGAACAGTATTCGCAAGTTGGTGTCAGGATAAATGGGATATAGAGAATCACTGCCATTATTTGAAACATGATTGCCAGATATTTTAGCGGAGAGGGACAAAAGTTTATGCTGATGAAGTAACTCTTATACCTTTAGGTATATATATACCTATATATACACCTATATACACCAGAGGCAGTTCCTCTGTGACAGGGCTGAGGTACATTATAGAAAGAAAAATAATGCCCCAGTTTTTCATTCTATTCTGTGGATAAATATTTCATTATCATTTCTGTTCTACAGATAAAGGCTAAAGCATGGACATTAATGAAGCACTAAAATATCTTAATGTGGAACTCACTGTCACTGAGAGTGGACTTTCAACTAATTTGGGGGTTTTGCTTTATCTATTACAAGTTCATTTCTGAGGGCACAACAGGCCACAGTAGTCAACCACTCTAAACATTAATATAGTCAAGGGTCATATAGTTTATCTAAATAATTCCAATAAATAAGATATTAATTTCTTTCTGCTATCTGTGTGAATACTCTCAAAGTCAAAAAATATGACAACTCATAAGAATGCTGTCATTATAAACCAGATTAAACTCAATTTTGATGTGAAGATTCTAAGTAATGATACATTTTACTCTGTTAGTAAGCTATTCCTTAGCTTACTTAGCTGTTTATTAACTTCATTATTAAATGTCTTAGCAATTTTTCAAATACTTACAATTATGAACTATGGAATCTGTAAAGAATGTTTCTAGGAGAGAGGTTAAAACCACCAGGTAAATACTCAGACTAAAACCCATGGTGCAAGGAAATATGTGTTCATCTTTCTCCTGATTCAGTTTGAATCACTCCATGTAACCATAATTTTACTGCTTTATTGGGATAATTTATTTTATGTTTTTGCTCTGTTTCATGACTGCACCATCAATTACAAAGAACAGTACCCTTGATTGAACATAGTAAAAGTTAAATTATTTAAAGATAATGCATTCTATTTCTACAATAAACTTAGGAGGTGATTAAAGTACCAGCTGATTCAGTAAAAAGATGTGCTGAGGATAGTAATTCTGTTTAACAAGGTGAAGGGGATACTATGTCTTCTAAACCTCTGATCATTCTTGTGTATCTGTGGAATTTTTCACATGGGTATACATTACCCTCAAAGCATGGTGACCAGAATTGGGCTCAGTACTTCAGTTGTGCTCTTATCAGTGCAGCAGCAGAACTGCTTCACGTCTCGCTTCCAACTATGAGATTAGCCCTTCTTTTTGGCAACAAAACTGTTAATTCATGCTCAATGTGTGTGTAGAATAATATGCAGATCCCTTTCTCCAGGGCTAGTGCTCACCTTGCAGCACCCCAGCTCCATTGATGCCGTGGACATTCTTATCTAAAAGGAGGAGGCTTTGCACATATTTTTATGGGATTCAGTCCTCTGTGATGAATATGTTAAAATTACTTTTTTTTTCATTTCTTTCTTGGGTAATGCATTCAGTAACACCCTTCATTCTTTTTGTTTTGCTTTCTTGGGCAGAAGAAACAATATTAAGATCTTATTTAGCATCCCTCATGAGAATATTAATCTAAAGATATGGGCAGAAGTATACACTTCTATATATATTTCTTAATACATCACTATCCTTTAACAAATAAGTATGAACTATTTCATTAATATTTTACAAATTATGCAAAAGCAGATTAAACAGAACATTTGCTCTCATACAACAAATGCCTATGGTACTAGGAAAAAAAAAAGAAAAGGCTTCCTTGAAGTTTCTCTCACCTCTAATGTATCACTTTAGAAAATGCTGCCTTGAATAACAATAATAACATCACAGTTGCTCATAAAGAATGAGGCGGTTCAGGCGTTGTTACAGTATAGGGAGCAATATACTGTGCTTTAAAGCCTGCTGCTGTAGAGGGCATTTCTGAGACCACCTTTGCAGACAGACATCAAAGACTTTTTGGTATAGCCTCAGCCTGTACAGTGATACTAGGTTTTAAGGGCCTTTTTCAGACGTTACACAATGAGAGTGACACAGTATCGCACTTATTCAATAAGGCCACAGAATAAGTTCTGCTGAGAGAAAAGCTAGCTGTGAATTCCCTCTGCGCAGGCTGGCGGTATGAGTTTTTGCGATCCTCAAGCCATTCATGTAATGCTTGATGTCTCTCACACCAGACTGAGAATACTTCTTGCAAAGAAGGGTCTCGCTTTAATGTTCTCCTCGCACTAACTCCCACCAGGTGGGGGAAGGAGCGCCGGAGCACATCTTGGTAGTCTGACAGAGCGGAGAAGGTGCTTTGCTAGCAATTGTGACTTCAAAAACTTTTAAATTGAAAAACCCAAAGCAGTTGGCCATCAGGATGGCAAAGATAGATATTTACAAAGCTTTCATCTACGCTTTTAACAGCTGTTCTCCTTCAACTTTCATAATTTCCATAACAAAAATCAGCATTGGTAACATTGGAGCAGCTCTAGCCATAATTAATCATATTCACAACTAGCTAAGAGAACAAAGCAAATTCAACATTTCCAGCCCACATGAGCTTTTTGTAATTTGACAAGACCAGATAAAAGTTAGACTGTGCCAGGAAGACCTTCAGCTTTTGGGGCTATCCCTTCATTAGTTTAACAGATGCCATTTCTGATTTACCTCTGAATTTTTGTGAAACTCCTCCTGGTATAGGACACACATAAAATACTTCAGGCAATTTAAGTTCATTTTGAATTATTAGTGAATTATATATATACATATATATATATATGCTATCCATACCAAAAAGCTAATTTCAAAATTAATTATGAAGAAGTCTGTTCAAGAAGACAATGATTCAAGAGTCACTTCATGATAAAACTGAAGCAAGAGTAGGGGTAAAACTACTTTTTGCCAAAACAAACATTATTTCAGTTTTCATTTCACATCATTTCACTTTTTCAAAACCTTTCTTTTCAAGAGAAAATATTTGACTGCTTGAATCTTGTTAGTTCTTAGCTTTTGCATCCACATTTTTGCACTCTTCTTTCACATTCTTACATACTTAAAAAAAACCTCATTTACTAAAGCTCTTTTTCTTTGCTGCTCCATGAAAAAGTAAATGCACACCTTGTGGGTAGCGTGAGTGATAAAATCATTAATCAGACTTAGAATGTCATAAATATTTGTGCAGAGCTTTTCAACATTTACTACTAATTAATGTGTCATAAATTACAGGATTTAAATTTAGAAAGTAAAATTAATAAATGATGTAAAGCAGACGCAGTTGCCTTTAACTGGCACTGAGAACCTACAGCTTAAACCCAGGCCTTTTTCTCCCTTCCTTTTGCAGTAAATGGTAATGTATTAAACACCACGTGAACGATGAATAAAAATAATGCCTGAGGGTGCTGGAGGTTCTAAGCAATCTGCATTTCAAAAGAGACTGATGCCAGTCAACTGTATTTATTTGGAAAGCAGTCAATAAAACAGACAGCATGGAAGAGATTTCAAGCAGAAATTACAGCAGATTCAGAGAAATGACAGATTTTTTGTGACCAGATAGTGGAATTGTTTTACTGGAAGCTACACATTGGTGCTTGGAAGAGATTGTGCAACTATAAAACATGGGCCAAAGTTGGGAAATTGTCATCTGACAATGGCAAAATCATCATGTCATCTGTTATCTCAGCTAGATTCAGTGGGACAGTATCTTAGCCGAATGCATTCTGAAAATACACAGACAAATCCTGCAATGGACAAAAATTCAGATTCACATCTGTATTTTCCCTGCAATTTGAGTATGAGAGAGTGGGTCTTATCTGGTGTCTCTCTTATGCATGCAAGTGCCAGGATAGAAAACGATGGTGGTTTTATTGTGCCAGCCAGTGGTGATAAGAAAGCAAAAGCTTTGTGAATAGCTCTGGTTAATGTAAATTTACGCAGAGCTGTAGTTTGAAGTGCACTATAAATCAGTGATGTGCCAGTGGAAGCTCCCAGGAGACTATTTCAGAAACCTGCCCTCAGATGGGGAGGAGAACTGATTCCCTCTACAGCCGATGCTAAATAGTCTTTACCATATGAAGGACAATGTAAAAAGATTGTGATGGCAGAGTGAGTCACACTAAAAATTCAGGAAACGTTCAAGTCATCATTGGCAGCAAAGACTGTGTTGGTTTGTGATCACTGTTTTATTCAATTACATTTAATATCTTGAGCACTCCACATTTTGCCTACAGTGCCACTCTCAGAGGTGTGCTAGGCAGCAGCCAAACAGGAGATTTGGACTGGCTGAGGAAAAGTCCTCCCAATTTCTTGTATCAGTTGCTGTTTGCAGTTACCACTGTGCAATTTTGGAGTGAACCCAGTGATGATACCAGTAAAACTGCCTGCACAGGTGAAATTAGGTGACTGCTTAACTCATCAGGTGGACAATATTTAGCGAATGAGGCTGGAGTATCTTGTAAACAGGGGAGGAGGCCACATGTGCAGATATGATGCAGCTTCCTTATTAAACTTGGGGGTGGGCAAGCAGACCAGTATGCGGAGCTTGCAGAGCTTCCGCAGCTCCCAGGAGCTGAGGGAATGGTGGCAAGTTACTCAACTCTCTTGCTGCACATCCTGTACCTCAAGACACTTAACAGACTCATTTTTTTTTTCACTGGCTTTTTGTATGGTATCATCCTACAGCTCTAGCACTGGTGCTCAACCTGCTCCTGGCAGGTTTCAGATTTGGGTCTGAACTCTCCCAACATTCACAGTTCCGGGACCTTACTTTGGGCTAATGTCTAATGTTTGGGCCTGTGATCTATCATGTTGAATTATTAAATTATATGACTTTGATACTGTTGTCAATACAAGTATCAAGAATATAGTCATCCAGGCACTGAAAGAAACTCAGGGTGCAGCAGAACATGTGTCATTCAGAAAATCCAGTGGAGATGGAGGTGCTCTTCAACTTGATTACTTTGCTTCTTTGAGTGTTTTCTTTTATCCATGTCACTGCTGTGTTGTGCAGGGTTCTTCAGAAGAAGCATCACAAAAAATGCAGTATACAAGTGTAAAAATGGAGGCAACTGTGAGATGGACATGTACATGAGGAGAAAATGCCAGGAGTGCCGTCTAAGGAAATGCAAGCAAATGGGCATGTTGGCTGAATGTATGTATACAGGTATTTGCATCATCTAGTCAGAGTGTGCATCAAATACTGTATTTGTTTAATTAGGCTGGTTTTAATAGTAAAGCTATAAAGGATATTGTCTGGCAGGTGGAAGGTGCATTAAAGATGATAACGTGCCTGTGCATCAAATCCTGTTGAAAAAGACAAACTGCACTTATAAGCAATGGGATCTAGTTGGTGGTTAGCGACACAAGGGTGTAAGAGCTGAGGAGATTGTGAAGGAAGGGCTGTCCTGCACGCGATGACAGCCATTACTCTGCTTGAGCGGGAAGGAACGGCAGTGAGGGGAAGCGAGTCCATGCGAGACTCCACAGGAGCGAGGAGTTCGCTGTGTTGTGGAAGCGGGAGCAGGAAAGTCCCGGCGCTTCCCTTTGCTACTGTTTCTGGGGCTCTCCCTGTCAAGTTCTTGCTAGCCAAGCCCAAATTTTGGCATTCAAACAATGCCATTTTTGAGAAAAGAGGAGGACTGTGGCTAGCAGGAAGTTTCTGCGGACTCACCAAGGGTACGTTCCCAGACCTCACCCAGCAATCAGGCAAAGCCTGCTAAGGGCTAGCCCTTTTTTATAGTCTCATTACCTCTTCTCATGGCACTACAAATTCTCCTGCCTTGCACATAGGCACGCAGGTAGAACCGTCTCCAGAAATGAAGCTGATGGACTTTAATAATGCCTCATATTAAAGCAAATATTCTATTCAGATAGACAACTTATAAACTTCATTGAGCTTTGCATTGGATAACTGAGAACAACAGGGATATTGGAGTGCAACTTCAAATGCGTTTAAAACTCCATTTTGAGTAAAATGTTGGCCAATCCATTATTTTTGCAAGCTTGCTCCTGAAAACAGTCTGTAAACATCTGCTTTTCTGCCTTCCATGAACAGGGCTACAATTTCTTTTTCCTGAGGGCTCCAGTCATTTTATCATACACGTATGTGTGAAACCAATTTAGGTTCATACAGGAAATTAATCTACTTGGAATTTTTAATATACTTCTATCCCTCAATCTCATCAGAAGATGCTATATTAACTGTTGGTTTTGTGCGAAACAATAAGCTCCATCAATACTTGGAAGGCATTGCTAGCCTCATGTAATTAATCTTTCATTCTGCAAATTGAACAGGCTACAAAGATCCTGAGATATGACATATTCTCATGCAATACATAAACATATGAGCAGACACCACCACTGTGATGGCAGCACTCAACGTGTCCCTAAGTGTCAGAGGAAAACAACTCCCCTGTGGTGCTGATCCCAGATCCATTGTTCCAAAATTCTGAGGGTTCAAAATAGCCTGAGTGACTGAGTACGACAAAAAAACAACCCGTCACCAAAAAAAAACAGGTCAGCATAAATAATACCAACTGGGCCCACATGAAACTTTTAAACTGGCCTATCATTTTCACAAACGGGCACATGTGAAAGAAAAGCCAGTGAGTGCCACTGCCATCTGATTCTCTCTCTGCAGTGGAAACACTGGGTATCTTGTGTTGCTCATGACTTAAGCATAAGCATGCTCTAATGCACTGCAATGAGGATGTTTGGCAAGGTTCTATTTAATGGCTTTTAAGTAGGAGTGTGCTGTATAATTGCTTTTAGTTCAAGGCAATCCAGGACAGTAAAACACGAAGCTTCTAGTAGTATAGAGCATTTATTTTTAAAAAAAAAATTACTAGGAAATGGAAGGTTACCTTGAACTTTGTTTCCCTTTCTCATTTTGTAGGATTGTAATTGCAAGCTCTGTGGGTTCTTTTTTCCCTCTGAACAAGGAGGTAAAGTCTTATAAATATTTATGGCACAGCTACTCAACAATCCTACTCCTGCCCTTTATATACAAACCACAGACAGATCAAACTTACTGACCATCAGTTTCAGTCATTTGCTGTCATTTTGATGTAACAGCAAGTGGGTGAAATGTCTACCTATGGAAGACCCAGGTTCTGCCACTCTTCCTGGAAGGTAATACCCATTTAATAGCCATTGAAGCCTAGCTACCTCTGGGGTAAAAAGTAAAGTCCTGTCTTTCACATGAGTTTTCCAGCTAACTTCAATGGAGCCCAGATGAGATGTCAAGGTACTACTCAGTAGCAGGAAGGATGAGAAAAATCTATCTTACTGCTTAGGGCAAATGTAAACCAGATTTTCCCTAGGAAGGTAGTAGACAAGATCCTAAGCCGGTGCAAAACAGTAGAAGCCCATTAACACCATCAAAGGATGCACTGAATAATTTAGAAAAAGAAATCTATGCTGCTGTGTGGCAGCACAAATTACATGGCTCGATACCAATTATTATCTCCATCGTTCCTATTCCCCCTTTCAAGGTATTATTTGCAGGTCTTATTTTAATAATGTAAATTTCCTCTTCTCTCAGTGGTTCAGGTAGGTTATTTTATATAGTGCTTAAACAGGAAATTAAAAACATTCACCACGGAATTCACTGTTCTCATGGTATCTTCCTCCACCATCCGAATGAGCCTCTTTTCCTGCTCTGCATTTTCAAAGGTGAAGAATGGGAAGGATACTTGAAAGAAGCTCCAAAAAAAAAGAAAGCAAGTCCTGCGCTGATAGGTTTATTTTTAGATGAATACTTAGCTGCTTACTTTTTCATTTGTGCTTTCTGGCTGACTTCCACAGGTTGTGTAGGGTACCTATCGTCCCTTTCTTTTGTTAGCACACACAAATTGCTAGTTTTTATGACATCCACACAAGGATGCTCCCTGGTTCGTGGTACTGAAATGTAGTCTAGAACAAAAAAAAAACCCCACAAATGCAAAAATCTTTTCATCAGGGCAAGTGAAACTCTGTAGTAAAACCAGGACCTTATTCAGTCCTCTAATACAATGAAATGCAAAATGGCAAGATCAACCAGGTAACATTTTAAAGAAATACATTTTAAAGGTACATTTACCAGCCTGAGTTACTTCTGAGCCTACATTTTCAGCTGCTGGTCTATCTGTATAGTGACACTGTAATGGCTAAAGCCCTGGAGCCCTCTCTTCTGAGTAGGCTTTCTGTGCAAAGATTCTGCATTATAGCCATAATATTGCTTAAAGATTATTGAAATCATCCAGTGCCCTTTGCGTAAGAACAGCTGCACCTTGATTACTGTTTCGGATGAGATGAGTAGCACACTTTTGATGACAGCCTTCCAATTGTTCCCATTTATTGTGCTTTGGTGTGGGTTTTGGAGCACATGAAGGGTATTCTTTTGGATGAAACTAAACCAAAGACACGCTCCAGCGCACTCCTGTTGCTAATGGGTTTTCTGTCTGTAAGACCAGATTAGAGCTGGTCCAAAGCAAGACCCCTGACATGCACACTGTGTGGATGCTGGGTCACCAGAACCAAGGGTTTTGCTCTGCAGATGGGCTCCTGCTGGGCTAGACTACTCATTAGTGTGTACTTAGTATGTCTCATTAGACACACATCCAAAGATAACGACACATTCAGGAAATGATCTGCATGGGTAAGTGGGTTGTTAGGGTAAAGGGCATTCATGGGCATGTTTATGTACTTATTCATTGCCTGAGGCATCTATCAATCCAATTGCTATCTGTTGTATTATGTGTTCTAGGTCTGTTAACAGAAATACAATGCAAGTCAAAAAGGCTGCGGAAAAATGTGAAACAGCTCCCAGATCAGGCAGTCAATGAAGATAACGAAGGCCATGACATGAAACAAGTGACATCTACAACTAAAATGTCTAGGGTAAGAAAATTCTTGTAAATGTTCATACAGTAGTGGTGATGTGAGCTAAATGCAGCTAGTACAGCGAATGTAGAGTACTTGCAAACTCTCTGGAGCTGTCTGTATTAATTAAAATTCCATTTGCCACCAAGTCATGGAAATACCCTGAGTATAGAAGTAGTTCTCATGTTTTAGTCAAAACTCAGTAAAGCATCTATAAAATCCATAAAATATTTTTTTCTGTGATACATATGTCCGGTACATATCACAGACGGCGATGTGTGATATTAAAGTTTGAGCATACCTAGTTATTTGCTAAACATTTCTTTATTTCTAAAAATAAACCACACAAACTCATGCAGTTTAGAAGCATCATACACTTCTTTTCTGTACACCTCTCTAGAAATCTCAGTGAGGAGTAAACCTCTTGTCTGCTTGGTCTCCAAGTGTGAGAAATAGATGTATAGCTTTTGCCTAAAGCAAGAGATGCTAGATCATTTCTATGACTGCATTTCATGATGGGCTTCTTTTTTTTTTTTTTGGCCAGTATAGGAGAAAGTAGTATTTACCCCAGAACAGCAGAACCTTCTTGATTACATCATGGATTCATACAGTAAACAACAAATACCACAGGAGGTGTCAAAAAAGCTAGTAAGTACATTGATGAATTTATTTTCGAGATGCGGATAATGAAGGTGAGGGTTATACAGCAGAAAATATTTGTACTCAGCATAAGTAGGTGTAGTAAGTAGTAAGGCAAACTATGGGTAAAAGCTTATAGTTAAAACATGCTGCAAGTGGGGCAGAATCGCTCCCATTCAGTCAACACTTAGACGCGTCTTTATCAAACTTAAATGCTAAGAAAAAGCTTTCAATTCTGGAAATACACCCTTATGCTCAAATCTAACCTTTGCTGATTGGAACTTTGTTTTTTGCATTGTCAGTATAGGCAGTGATTTGAGTTCGACTTGCAGCCAAGCTTCCTTTCTATAAAGACACCAGCCTGGAAGCTTGAAAATACTTGAGTTTTTTGAAATCAAATTCCCAACATTTTCCAGGTTTGGATTTTTGTTTCATCCCCTCTTCTTTCCTTTTCCTCTCTACCTTCTAGAAATTCCATTTTCCCTTTAAGAGCTCCCAGTTTTCATGGTAGGATGGAAAAAAGGTTGGAAAACAGGGAGAAGAGGAAAAAAGGGGTTAAAAGTGAGATTTTTTTTTTACAAAACTGTCATGTTCAATCTTAAAAAAAAAGAAAACAAAACAACTGTAGAAAATTATTTCCTAAGTCATCAACTTTGAAAACTAAAAGGAAGACACTTGCAGGGGCAGGGTTGAATAACTCATAACTAAGTTGTAGAACTGTCATGGTTTAACCCCAGCCAGCAACTAAGTACCATGCAGCTGCTCGCTCACTCCTCCTTCCCCTCCGCCCCCAGTGGGATGAGGAGGAGAATCAG